TTTGTTAGCCAGTGTCTAAATTGCCCATCCCTATGGGCAAATTATTGAATGATTCAGAAACCATCAAGAGAAAATGGAAGGTATACACAGAGTCACTGTACCAAAAGGAAATGGTTAATGTTCAACCATTTCAAGAGGTAGCATATGATCAAGAGCCAATGATACTGAAGAAGAAGGTACATTGAAGAAATTGGCAAAGAACAAGGCACCAGGAATTGATGGAATAAAAATTGAAATATTTCAAGAAAGTGAGGCAGCACAAGAGGCACTCACTCATCTCTGCCAAGAAATTTGGAAGACAACTATCTGGTCAACTGATTGGAAGAGATCCATATTTGTGCCCATTCCAAATAGAGGTGACCCAATGGAATGTGGAAATCATCGGGCAATCTATTTAAATTTCCCATGCAAGTAAAGTTTTGCTAAAGCAAATACAGAAACATCTGCAAGCATACATTGACAGAGAACTTCCAGAGGTTTAGGCCGGATTCAGAAGAAGCCGTGGAACAAGGGATATCATTGCTGATGTCTGATGGATCTTGTCTGAAAGCAGAGAATATCAGAAAGATGTTTACTTTTGCTTTATTGACTATGCAAAGGCTTTTGATTGTGTGGATCATGACAAGCTATGGACAACATTGCGAATATGAGTATTCGAGAACACTTGATTGTGCTCATGAGGAATCTGTACCTGCACCAAGAGGCAGCTGTTCTAACAGAACATGGGAACACTGAATGGTTTAAAATTAAGAAATGTGTGTGACAAGGTTGTATTCTTTCACCATACTAATTCAACCTGTATACTGAGCAAATAATCTGAGAAACTGGGATCTATGAAGAAAAATGTGGGATTGGAGGAAGACTCCCTAACAAGCTGTGATATACAGATGATACAACCTTGCTTGCTGAAAATGAAGAGGACTTAAAACATTTTCTGATGAAGATTAAAGAGCATAGTCTTCAATGTGGATTACATCTCAATGTAAACAAAACAAAAATCCTTATCACTGGACCAATAAACAACATTCTTATCAATGGAGAAAAGATTGAAGTTGTTATTCTTCTTGGATCAACTATCAACACTCACGGAGGCAGTAGTCAAGAAATCACAAAGGGCGTATTGCATTAGGCAAATCTGCTGCACAAAACCTTTTTTAAAGTGTTGAAGAGCAAAGATGTCAGCTTGAGGACTCAGGTGCTTCTGACCCAAGCCATGGTATTTTCAATAACCTCATATGCATGCGAAAGCTGGCCAGTGAATAGAGAAGACCGTAGAAGAACTGATGCATTTGAGTTATGATGTTGGAGGAGAATATTGAAAGTGCCATGGGCTGCAAAAGAACCAATAGATCCGTTTTGGAAGAAGTGTAGCCAGAGTGCTCCTTGAAGTCCAAGATGGCCAAACTTGGTCTCTCATACTTTGGATATATTGTCAGGAGGGATCAGTTGCTGGAGAAGGATATCATGTTTGGTAAGGTGGACAGTCAGAGAAAAAGAGGAAGACCCCCAACGAGATGGATTGACCAAGTGGCAACATTAATGGACTCAAGCGTGGCAACAGTAGTGAGGTTGGCCCAGGATCAGGCAGTGTTTCATTCTGCTGTGCATAAGGAGCTATGAGTCGGTACTGACTTGATGGCAACTAACAATAACAACAAATGAGTTGGAACCGACTCCACGGCACATAACCACCACCATCCAGTACACTGATGAAACAAGCTTGTTACTTGATATGAAGAATTCGTCCATTCCCGTTGGAATTTTGAGCAACTGCATCCATAAGCAAAAGTCCAGTTTATCATATTGTAGCAATTTACACTTGCTTCCAGTATAAAACATCTTCATCTGATCAAGTTCTGGTCAGCTAGCCATCCAAGCTAGGTCATATGGGCACTAACTGAAAGTTTGGGAGTTCACACATACTTCCCTGCACTTCAGACCAGCTGGCCACTTCATTCTCAGCTGTAACACCCAGTGACTAGGTCAATGCCCATGAGTTCAGGAGTTCACAGATCTCCCTAAACTTCAGACCAGCCAGTCCTTTCTCCTCTCTGTCTCATCTCAAGGTCAGTGGGTATCAATAGAACATGACCAAACTCAGCCCGTGTTTTCATTGCTGTATTTCCCACACTTTCACTCACAAGTAGACCCAGGGGGTCACCAGCAAACATACTAGACTGCTTGCAGTTTCCCTTTAAGTTTCAGTCCTAGAAGGGGGTTTTCCCTGAGGTGCTGACTTTCTTTGTAGCATTAGTTTTTCATTTACTTTCATAAATGAGCAGAATTCTGTTCCAGAGCAAGATGATATGGCCTGGCTAATGGGGTAGATTTTCTAGAATTAATGAAGAGATCTGTGTTGGGACAGAGACCACTGAAGAAGTGTGGAAGCTGCTTTAGATGCAAGGATGGTTTGACCTCTGGTGTTACTTACCTTAGAGGCTGAATATCATGCATCATACTAATGTTATGGGAAGTTGGATTTGTGCTACCTCCCATAACATATCCAACAGGGAGAATTATAGTAAACATTTGTTGATTGCATGTGGTCCTTAGTTAGGTCCTGTGCTCCATGCTTGACATACATTTTTACCTCTTTTGGGAGTACTATTAATTACCCTTATTTTATTAATGAGTTTAGTAACTTTGCCCTCAGTCACAAAGCAAGTCATCTATGAAGTTTGCCTTTGAACGTAGGATGCTCTAACTCCAGAGCTTTTAGGTCATTGCTTTTAAGGGCTGAACTACAGAACAAGAAGTCATATAATCTAATTGTCGTCGTTATTAGATGCGATGGCATCTATTCCAACTCATAGCAAACTTATGCACAACATAAGTTTGGTCCTGTGCTGTCCTCACAATCGTTGTTAAGCTTGAGCCCATTGCTGCTGACACTGTGCCAGTCCATCTCATTGGGAGTCTTCCTCGCTTTCACTGACCTTCCAATTTACTTAGCATGCTACTGTTTTCCAGGGACTAGTCCTTGAGACAAAGACATTAGAGAGATGGCAGAAAGAATTCCATTTTGTTATTCGTATGTCTCTGACTATGTGAGTACATGTGCTTTGTTGTTGTTTGGCAGTGAACTAGTTAACCTAAATATCTCATGCCTCTCACTACTTCTTTCTCTTGGTCCAAAGTGCATGCATCACTTATTCGTTTAATTATTTAGTAAGTAATTAATGCATGCTCATGAGCCAGACACTATTCCAGTCACTAGAGTACAAGGGCTATTAAGACTTAGTTTCCCCTCATTTGGAGGAGACAACCAGTACTTAATCAGATAGCATTAAATGCTAAAATAAAATAAAATAAAATAAAAGTTAATGGTCAAAGAAACAAAACAAAACCTGTCAGTTAGTTCCAGCTAATAGTGACACTGTGGGTTAAGCATTGAGCTCTCAACAGAAAGATCTGGCAATTAGAAATTACCAATCACTCTGTGGGAGAAAGATGAGGGAAGTTACTTTCATAGAGATTTACAGCCTCAGAAAGCCTATGGAAAGGTTCTAGTCTGTCTGAAAGGTCAAGGATTGCTATTGGAATCAACTCAATGACAGTGGGTTTTGTTTTGTTTCTTTGCTGTAAAAATGGAACAGAATAATGTAAGATAAAGATTGGGAGGTTGTCCTTCATGTAGGGGCGTATTATGACAAAATCTGTGTACCACATCATAATAATGTAAATTGCTGTTGAGTCAATTCCAACTCATGGCAACTCTTGGCAACCACAGAGTAGAACTAGACTTCACAAGGTTTTCAAGGTCTTTCGGAAGCAAATCACCAGGCCTGTCCTCTGGATATGAACCACTAACCTTTAGGTTAATCCGGCACTTAACCATTTGTGTCATTCAGGGTCTGTAATAATAACACCAAAACCAAACCCAGTGCCATTGAGTTGATTCTGACTCATAACGACCCTACAGGGTTTCTAAGACTGAATCTGTGTGGGAGCAGATAACCTCATCTTTCTCCCACAGAGTGGTTGTGGACTTGAAACACTGGTCTTACAGTTAGCTTATTCCTCAGCACCACCAGTAATTTAAAACAAAAACTATATAGTTGAACATCATGCAGGAAAGTGAAGGAGAAACGAATAGTGGACTTGAAACATCTCAGTGGGTGTAACATTTTTCCTTAGGATGTTGGCCTTGGATTCGGGAAATATAAGATTTGGCACTAGCCCATGCAGAATGAGGAGGATAGAACAGGGCAGAATATCAGAGAATATACAGTTGCAACCAAGTCTGACAGTGAATTGTGGTGTTGTGGAGATTGGTATACACAGATTTGGTGTAAATAGATTTTCCTAATTCTCAGAAGGTAATGATTAGAACTGTTGTTGCATTTTATGCTTTGGGACGTTGTGTTTTAGGAGCAGAAATAATATTTTAGGCCTTTCTTAGAATAATCATTTTTCTGTTTGTTTCTTGTTTCCTTCTTTGTAATGTTTTGGTTTGTAGAGCATTAGGCATCACGTGTGAGCACTTATGAATGGCATCATTTTTTCTTTCCAAGCCACTGCGTAGTGTGTTTTAATTGAAAGCCAGCTAAAGTGCTTGATAGAGGCGTAGTAATCCCACCTTGCTAGAATTAAAAGGCACGAGGTGCAGCCGAGTACTTTCACGTCTTGTTAGTCACACTCCCTGGAGTTTCATTTCAATAATGAAATGACTGTTTTAAGCACAATTACTGGAAACTGCCAGTCTTCTCTTAAATTCTGAACAGAGACTTTGCTTGTTTTAAAAAAAACTGGGAAAATATACTTGAAAGAGATTTCCCTTTTCTGATCATTTATTTTATGAAACACTTTGATGCTCCATTCACAGGGAATGTAAATGCTGAGGGAAAGACTGGTCATTTGGTTGGCTCTGTTGAATCTGTTTTCTGAACAATTTCTGTAGTTGGATATTTATACAAGTGCCGTCTTTTGTTGTAATAATGTGCAACTCTATTCTTATATGAAATGCTACAATAGTAAATGTCATTATTTCTTTTTTATAGGAAAATGGCATTCCTACAAAGAAAGCACGCAATGATGAACATGAGGTATATCTACAGGTTTTTATTTTTGTCAATCACTCTTATACTGTGTGTTAATCGTCTTGGTAATTTGTATTTGTAAGATGCTTCTAAAATGTTTTTCCCCAAGGCTTTTCGTATGCATTCTGATTCTTTTTTCTCTGTAAGGCAGCTAGGGCGGATAGGATAATTTCATTTTGAAAGTGAGAAATCTGCACTTGCACCCAGATTTTAGTAGCAAGTTATTTATGGTAGATGGTCTAAAATAAATACACTTTATGAAAATTTTCCCACTTATAAACTTTTGATTTATCATAATAGAGAAGATGTTTTGGAGGCTGTTTTAGAATACTGGACAAGGGCCTTTTAGTTTTGCCAACGAGACACTAAAATATATTCTCAATGTATCTTTCAAGTATGTGACTGTTAAACCTTTAATTGTTCTTGACTTAGGACCAGAACATTTGATTGATGTCTGTCATCCGTGTTTTCTTATCAGTGCCCTTTTATCTGGTTGAGGCTTTAATACGCTGGACTGGTTCAAGTTCACCAGCTGCTCCTCAGAAACCCTACACAGGTTGACTGGACTGGAACCGACTTGACAGCATTTAAGAACAGCCCTTCTTCTGGAGTCCTGGTGTGGCACTGTGGGTTAATTGCAGGACTGCAAAGTCTGTTTGAACCGCAAGGTTGGCGGGTCAAGCTCACCAGTCACTCCTTGGAAACCCTATACAGGATCTCTATGATTTGGAATCTACTTGAAGGCACTTAACAACAACAGCCCTTCTTTTGGGAGCTCTGGGAGCATAATGGGTTCCAAGTTGGGCTGCTAGCTGCAAGGTTAGCAGCTGGAATCTACCAGCTGCTCCACGGGAGAAGATGAGACTTTTTGCTCCCATACAGGTTTACAGTCTCAGAAACCCTATATAGGGTTGTTATGTAGTGTAATCAACTCGATGACACACAACTACCACCACCACCCGTATTCTGGTCACTTCCCAGCTTTATCTCCATCTCTTCTCTAGCCCAACTGAAACCTGTGAGTCCAGCATTTGAATCCATTTTTAAATATAACTGTGTTGTTAAGTGCCACCAAGCAGCTTCCGACTCATAGTGACCCTGCATAGGATTTCCAAGGAGCAACTAGCTGAAATGTTTGAACTGCCGACCTTGTAGTTAGCAGCCCAGTGCTTACTCTACATCACCACACCAGGACTCCTACAGCCACTGTCATCCATCTTTTATTATTTTAAACTGGTGTTTGTCAAAATGGTCCTCAAACCATCTGCATTGAGAACTCTTGTAAAAAATTCAGATTCGCAGGCTCCATCTGAGATCTGCTAAATCAGAATCTACATTTTTATTTAACAAGCTCTCCAGGTGCATCCAAAACACACTGATGTTTAAAAATCACTACCGTAGATATTAGGGACCTAGACACTGAGGGACTCAAAGCTCTATAGGTTCCTAGGGATTTTGTATATTGGCTCAGAAACAGCTGTTTCAGAGCAAAAATGTATTCTGAAGTCAGGCAGCCACATTAAACTTTAATTCTTAGAGCACAGTTTATATGCCTGATTTGCATTTACTTGAAATTTTAAAGAGAAAAAAAAAGTACAATTTATCCCCTCTTTTTTTCCCCCAAGTAGGTAAAACTGACTGACTGTCTTTTTTCTTATATGTTATTCAAGTATTTCTTTCTGATTCTTGAATCAGAAATACAAGGGGAAAATGGAGACAAAGAAAAGTACTGAAGGAGAAAGTAAATCCTCCTGCCAGATACACATTTTGATTTGATTTGTGGTTCCTTATACCTTATTGATTACCTAGTTAATTTCAGCAGCCCATTGTTAGTTTATAATTAACACTGATATTAGGGAAAACATACTAACATTAGTTTTAAAACTCTATAGGCCATGTGCATTTTAGTCAGAAAGATAAAAGACTGAGAACAAGCTCTCATTCTCAAGATTAGTCTCATCAGGAGTGAATATGAGGGGAAAGGAATTTCTGGAGTGTGTGGCTTGCAGGCTTCAAATTCAAACCGTGTCTAATGTTCTTTTGGCCTACTTGGCGTCTCTGTGAGTGGTTTTGGTAGATGTCGCTGTGTGAAACAATTGTCACTAGCTTGGTCTACTCTGTTGCCACTAAGTATTCATCCACATGCATTTGTTCTTTTAGCCAGGCTTTCAGGTATGAATAAATTATGTGAATATCTGTCATTTACTTAGGTTTTTCTTTTTTTAACATCGACTTCAGACATATTTAAACAGGTGTAGCGTGCCTCATGAAAGAGCATAGAAAAGGAAACATAACATCAGGATGGTCTCTAAGGTTGCTAAAGATAGGTGTGAGATATACTTTTAAGAATAATGGTTGTGAATTCATTCTCAGTTTTGTTCCTTCTTTCATGCTGTTTGTAGCCATAAATGTTATCTAGGAAAACTTAATAAAAATCATCATTACTTTTGTGGCTATATTTATATTTAATTGTGTGAATGGCATAGTTTGAATGAATAGCATCCCATGTTTCTCTAAGTAACTACTAGATATTATTTAGCAATGCTTTTAGTCATGGTTGCACATTAAAATTGGTTGTTGTTGTTGTTGTTATGTGCCGTGGAGTTGGTACCGACTCATAGCGACCCTATACAGGGTTTCTGAGGCTATAAATCTTACGGGAGCAGACTGCCTCATTTTTCTCCCGCAGAACCGCTGGTAGTTTCGAACTGCTGACCTTGAGGCTCGCAGCCCGATTCGTAACCACTACGCTACCAGAGCTCCTTTGGTTGTTGTTGTGTGCCATGGAGTCGGTTCCGACTCATAGCGACCCTGTACAGAGTTTCCAAGGCTGTAAATCTTTATGGGAGCAGAAAGCCTCATCTTTCTCTAGCGGTAGTTTCGAACTGCTGACTTTGAGGTTCGCAGCCCAATTCATAACCACTACGCTACCAGAACTCCTTTGGTTAGAGGGCTTTACAAAATAATCACTGCCCTAATTCTACCCCACACCAGTTGAATTCAAATATGTGAGATGTATGGCTCTAGAAACCTTTTTTTTTTTTTTTCCCCCTTTAATTGGTTAAAGCTCTCTAGGTAATTTTGATGTGTGGCAGGATTATGTACATTAAGCCACATAACATAAAAGTGTCCTATATGAAATTGCTATAAATGTTTCTAAATGGCTGAATAACAGTGAGTACATTGCTTTGCTGTGATAAATTGTTAGCTGCTGACAGAAAAACTGAAGATTGAAAAACTGATGGCTTCGAATCTTGGTGTTGTTAAAGAATATTGAATACATTTTGAATTCCCAGAAATTTATCTTAGAAGGAGTACAGCCAAATTGCTCATTTGAAGGGAGGACAGCAACACTGTCTCAAGTACTCTGGACCTTTTATCAGGAGGGGTCAGTCTCTGGAGAAGGCCATAATGCTTGGTAAAAGGTCAGGGAAAAATAACATAGAGATGGTGTTCCTCCACCACCACCACCAAAATATGTGTCAACTTGACTGGGTCATGATTCTCAGTTGTTTGGCAGTTATGTAATGATGTAATGTAATACTTAGTGGATGATCCTCCATGCTGTGATCTGATGGGATAAACCAATAAGAAGATTAAGGATAGAATGTTGTTGTTAAGTGCCATCGACACTTTATAGTGACCTTATATAGGGTTTCAGACAAGCTGGTGAGTTTGAACCTCTGACCTTGCTGTTCAAACCAACCTTTTGGTCTAGTATTTATCCTACAGCACCACACTAGGACTCCCAAGGGTAGAATGCAACACCTTAAATCTAGTCACATCCCTGATCTGAAAGTTAGGGAAATTTCCCTAGGATGTGTAGCATCTTACGAGACATGAAGGAGAGAGAAATGAGTAGAGAGGAGAGACCTACTACCACTAAGATGGAGGATTCAGTGGTGGAGTGCATTCTTTAGGCTTGGTACCCCTGCACTGAGAAATTCTTAGGTCTAGAGGAGCTCTGGTAGCGTAGTGGTTACGAATCGGGCTGCAAACCTTAAGGCCAGCAGTTCGAAACTACCAGATGCTCCGCGGGAGAAAGATGAGGCGTTCTGCTCCCGTAAGGATTTACAGCCTCGGAAACCCTGTACAGGGTCGCTATGGGTCGGATCCGACTCGATGGCACTTAACAACAACAACAACAAGGGTAAGATTGATGTCAAGATACTTGGAGACCTCCAAGGAATGCCTTGCCTAAAGATACTGAAAAGAGACAAGGATCTTTCCCCAGAGCTTAAAGTCTTCCCCTAGAGCTGACACTCTGAATTTAGATTTCTAACCTAAACTGTGAAACCACTATCTATCTTTTAGTTTATCCTAGTGTGGTGATTTGTTTGATTTACTATGCAGGGAATGACAAATTGAAGAGGAATGGTGTTGCGTTCATTGTAAAAAAGAACATATCCAGATCAGTCATGAGGTACAATACTATAAGTGATGGGATAATGTCCATGCGCCTACAGGGAAGCCCAGTTAATACCACTATTATTCAAATTTATGCATCAAACACTAAAGCCAGTGAAGATGAAATAGAAGAACTTCTTCAATCTGAAATAGATCAAACATGCAATCAAGATGTATTGCTCATTACTGGTGATTGGAGTACAAAAGTAGGGAGCAAAGAGGAGGGTCCGGTAGTTGGAAAATTTGGACGTGGTGATAGAAATGATGCTGGAGAACGAAAGATAGATTTCTGCAAGACAAATGATTTGTTTATTTCAAATACCTTCTTTAGACAGCATAA